GCACCCTACCGGTAGGGGCGTTGGAAACTTTTGGTGGTGGTACTCAAAGGCTATCCGGTAGGGCCAATACTGCACATTTGGAACGGGTGCCGTATGGTTAAAAAGAAAAAAAATTCAGGCCCAGCCAACGCCGGGGTTTTATGGGAAATTTGAATCGTAGTCAGAGGGGCACGACAGGGTAAGTGAGCCATCGGTGGGGCACAACACAAATAATGGAAATTACAGGGGCGCCAGACAAATTTTCCCTTTTTTTTTTTAAACAAAGCATTTCTCTTGTATTCACAGGGCTCTCCAAGAAAACCAACTTAAAAAAAAAAAGAACAACTTGCTGGATTATCAGCCAAAGGTGAGGTTTAAGCCGCAGGTTCGTTCATGTTCCATTCCCTTTGAAATTGAGAGCGAGGGGCTTTCACTGGTTTCTGCGGAAACCAGTCACTGTGAAAGGTTGACAGCAGGGTCTCAGGTCACAACCACTTCTTCGATTCGGAAACGGTGGAGGAAAATGCGAAGGACGTCTTCAGCAAATGTTTTGCAGTCTCATGTGCCTGCAATGATAGCATAGGGATAGGGTGGTCCCCACATCGAAGTGGTCGAGGGGCAACAAAACCAAAGTGCAGCCCACATGTTGCAAAGCGACACATCTGTGCCGGGGCTGTGTGGAGTCCAGAAGGAATGTGGTTTGGTGGAGAAGCTGTGGCAGAAACATGCGCGTGTGAACATCAAGAGATCCACCGGTGCACCCCAGTGGCTCCCTCCGATACTCTTCCAGGCCAGGAGTTGTAGGATCGCACTAGGGTGAAGGCTACCATGGGACGCTGGACCCGGTTTCCAGCAGGTGACGCTCCCCACCAATAGATAAAGAACTGGTTAAAAAAAAAAAAAAAAAAAAAAAAAAAAAGGTTTCCGGCAGGTGACGCTCCCCACCAATAGATGGAGAACTGGTTAAAAGAAAAAACAAAGTGGGATGAAGGCTTAGTTGTGGAAGCCTGGAAGGAATTATCATCCGGAACGCAGAAGAGGTTAGACCGGGTTGGAGTTATTTGGCCACTGTATGTGATTTTGAAAGGTCTGGCGATCGGACTCCGAGGGAAAGGGCCTCCGAGGGAAAGGGCCTCCGAGGGAAAGGGCCTCGCTGCACTACTCTTGAAAGGTGCAAAACGAGAGTGAATCTTCTGCTAGAACATGGAAAGATACAGCGACATGATTTTTGTCTTTTCTGCATTTCAAGAGTAGTGCAGCTTTGAGGCCCAAAGTCAGTACCACATGATGGATCAGGGAGCATCAATCCTCAGCAGATTGGTATGCTGACAAATAGTCGCCATCAAGTCTTGCACATTTCGAAATTCACACCATCATGATGACACCCCTGCCACTTTGTCGTTTCTTGCCCCCTATTTCAAACTAAAAGGGTGTCACAAAGCCAAAGTTTCCCCAATAAATAGGCACATGACTTCATCACATCTGGGACTCATCCATCATGTGAGTGTTACTCCCAAAATCCAAGTGTACAGCAGTCTAATGTCCTACAGTTACATTCATTCTCCAGCTCAAGACGCCATTACTCGTGAGAAAGTCAATAATTTCAAAATAGAGAAAATTACGGCGCAGTCAAGGTTATAGTTTGTAGATTGTCACTGCATTTCAAACTGCTCTTTAGCAGTTTTTTTAAGTCAGGGTTAGAGTTTCAAACGCAGTTGAAACTCAGGCTGGCCAGCGTAGTCAGTACGGCCCGTCTGAACGAACGGCCGTACGGCCGTATGGACGTGTCCTGTCCGAATGTGCCCGGGCCTGGTGGGGGGGGTGGGGTGGGGGGTTTGACACACTGAGGGGGTGGGGAGGTGGCAGGGAACCCCCCAGTATTAAAAAAAAAACAATTATTTTTTTGTTGAGAAAAAAGAAAGATTCATGATTGATTGTTTGATTGATTGATTGATTGTTGTGTGTGTGTGCGCACACCAGGGGAGGCGACCTCCCTGCAATCAATCAATCAATGGATCAAAAAAACAAAAAGAGAAAACTACAGCGCAGTCAGGGTTACAGTTTTTAATTGCATTTCAAACTGCGTTTTAGACGTTTAGTCAGGGCCCGAGTTTCAATTGCAGTTAAAACTGCGTTTTGGCAGTTTGAAACTCGGGCCGTTTTTTTCTAGCAGTTCAGTCAGGCACATGGCCGTTTCTTTCTTTCTTGTTTTTTTTTTCGAAGCGCCGCGCCGTTACACAGCTGGAAAAAAAACGAAAAAGCAGGGACACTGATGCAATTCTCCAC